AGCGTGCGTATTTTTAATGGCTACATACATAAAACACAAATACTAGAAAGGTTACTCTCCAAAACCATTCAGCTTTTACCTTTGGGGAGGAGAGATTAAAACGGCCTCTCTACTAAGGTCTGACATTTTAATTTTCCTTACAAAAATGCACGTGTTGGAGCACCCAGGTGGCTCATTTGGTTGAGCGTCCGACTTCAGCTCAAGTCATGATCTCACGGTTCGTTGAGTTTGAGCCCCACACAGGGCTCAGTGGTGTCAGTGAGGAGCCTGCTTCAGATCTTTGGATCCTCCAGCCCCTCCCTCCCCCTCCCCGACTTGTGTGCCATTTCAAAAACAAACAACAAAAAAAAAAACCATGTGTTACGTTTTTCTTAACATGCCATTGCAAATATTATCAGCCACATTCCAGAGTGCTCAAGGTACCACTGATGAGAGGCAGATTATAGATGTAGATGTAAAGTACCCAAGAAATTCAAGTCACTGAGCTTCACATTTTTTCCCCCTAATACACCCCATTTCACAGATGATGAAACCAGCCCAGGGAGGCAAACTTACCCAGGTTCCCACACCTAGTAATTGGTGGAGCCAGCATTCAAATCCACAGGATTTCAAGCAAAGATTCTTCCTTCATGCAAGGGGGCAAAAAAGCAAATGAAAATGGTAAGATCACCCCTGCCTGCAAATAGTCCAGATACCCAATGCTGGCTCAGGTGCTGGGAGAACCGTGTTGGCGTGAGCCTTAACCAACACTTTGCAGAAGGTCCTTTGGTAGGACCCGTTAATATTTTAAATATGAATTCCTTTGAACCATTTTACCTGCAGAAACGTATCCTACCGAAACTTAACGAAACTAGAATATTCACTACTGCACAGCACCAATTTTGAGAAGCTACTATTTGCTCAAGTATCAGCATACGTACTCTGGCACAGAAAGATGTGTATACACGGTTAAGTGGCTGTGTGGCTGGATTTGGGGGGAGTTTTAACTTTTTTTAAAGCATTAATGCAATACAACTGAAATGAGAGGCCACTGGAAACTCGCAACAGCATCAGTGAGACTTCCCGGCTTTACCAAGGGTCACAGGATGTGCGTCGGACCCTCCAAACCTGTGCGTGTCGAAGGCTGCCGTCTGCTGAACTCCGTGAAGATGGTGCACGTCTTGTAGGAAGAAGTCCAATGCGTCAGTACAACACATGGAGTGATGTGACGGCCAGCCTGGGCGTGAAGGCCTGCTCCTCTCTCAAAATACGGTCCCCTCTCGACCATCACACAGCTCGGAAACCCTGAAGTATGGCGTTTGCAAGCTGGCCAGCATGAGGTTAGGTCACCTGAACTCACCAGAAAAGTAACAGCTTTCATGGCAGGGGGAGCAGGTACCATGAGCATCTGACCACATCAACCTCCTGTAACTCAATTAAAGGGATGAATCTTCAGTTTCTTTGAACCGTAAAGTAAAACTTCTTCTTCTGGCAGAAACTTTCGAGTCACCCCGCGACCCTTAGAGTCCGGAATACATCTGTGAAGATTCCCCACCACCCTGCAAATGGACACCTGAGTCATGCATCTAATGAAGTGGCAAGCTCTAACAAACAATACGAAATCTGATGCAATGAGATAAATATACTGACATAGTCACAATACCCCTCAAAAAAAAAATCATGACAAAAATTTAGTGATTCATTCATGGTAATTTTCTAAAATTAACTATGTAGCCCGTGTTCCCAACTAGGTCCCCACTCTCTCCATTTCCAGATCATCCCTCAGCCTCTTGTGTCCTCACTGCACTGAGGCTGGCTCAACCTCCCCCCCACACCCCCGCCCCCGTCAGGCCCTGGCCACCCCACCCCCCACCCCTGACCTACAGGGGGAGCCAGCCAGCCCAGCTCTCACTGCTGCAGGGAGCCCTTCTGGCCCAAAGACACAGCTGTGTGAGTTTAATGGGTCTCAAAAGCCTTGGGGGGGGGGGGGGGGGGATGGTAGGAAGGCTGGTTCTTTTCTAAAAGACTGAACTTGACTCGATCAAAAAAGTTAACTCGGATGTGGTGACCAAAACAAAACCGCAGACAAGCCCCATAGTTTTTTGGATTTTTAAATTATTTATTCGTTGAATGATTTAAGGTGTGTACCATGACTCCAGTTGGGTAAACCACATTGAAGAATTTGACTGTGGGTCTTTAGTTCAGCCAAATGCTTTCCATTAATTTTGCTCTATAAAATACTAAACATTGTAATTAAGTTTTGAATGCTTCAGCCATGCTCGGAACACTGCAGGGTAAGTAAGGATGAGCTCAACCCACTCATGCCAAGTGAGGGCGACAGCAACAGGTCTCATGAGCCATGAGGTCTGAAAGAATCCGAGGATCTAGCTTAAGATGAAGGGAGGTTCTGTTCCCACAGAGTAAACCGTTCAGTTTTAAAATTCAGCCTACACTGTTCTCAAGAGACTGAAAAAAAGAAAATCAATGTCATTTAAAAAGTACCACACAATATGCAATCTTCCATGATTTGTCTGCATCTAAAATGGCACAATCAAAGGCTTCAAAATTCTAGCAGTCAGAACTAAGTTTTCCTATGAGAGAGAAATCGTTTCCCTTTCTACTCCTAAATGTGAAGAGTTATTCTGTGCTCAGGGGGCACGGGAGAGAGCAGGGGACACAGAGCGGGGGTGGGGGGAGTTACGAGGAGGTTGACAAATCGCATTTGAGATTCAATGCAGTGGAAAAAAGTAACGAATGCTAAAGTTTTTAAAAAGTTTAATGGAGCCAATAAGGCATATAAATCGTGTTCTGGCAGACATTAAGACCTGCTTTCTCTAACCAAAGAAAATGGCACATGTTTTATCAAAATTTGACAATCGAGAGTAAAGGGTACTGAGATTCAGCGTCAGAGCACCAACTAAAACAAAAAACAACCAAAAATAAAAAATTTAAAAAAACCTGTTATTCTTCGGAAGGAGGAACTAGAGAACCAAGGCATAAAGGGAGGGTTATACAGGCGTTCCTCAATCTCAAAATCCTTCAGGAACAGGGGGTCTGGCCACTTGTGAGCTACGCTTCACACCACACCAAACGCCAATTCCAGAATCTAAATTTACAACGATGGAAAAAAAAAAAAAACAAAAAAAAAAAACAATGGTAACTCCAAATGCATTTCTGGGCATATTCCAAAGGGAAGCTTAAAAGTATTCCTAAGACACAGGCTCGTTTGTTTCAGGTATAATTCTTCCTGCTATTATATTCAAACAAAAAAGAATGATCCACTTTTTGCAAAAATTTTCAAATACCTCACTTTCAGTCCTAAGTTTTACTATGGAATTGACTTTTGTTCTGTTGGGGTTTTTTTTTTGTTTTAAATAGGGCTATATCTATACGAATACAGAACATTTCTAACATTCCATTCACCTCCCACCCAGTCCATGAATATTATGGTTAACTTAGCAAAGTTTCTTCACAGAAAGATATTATTAAATGGCTGAAGGAATTGCAAACTTTAACAAAGTGCTGTGAGTAATTACTGGAAAAACCCTTCCACTGATTTGCAGTGGTCTTTTAAGGATAAAAACAGGAAGTTAACTGATACTGGACTACAAGTTTGCAAGGAAACATTTTCACTGTCCTACTTGATATATAACATAATAATATGATAGAATAAATTACAGTACCTGGCAGGCTGACATCAGTTCTTCATCTAAAAAAGACTATCATTCAGTTCAAGATATTAAAAATGAAGGTGAAGCATGCTCTAAAACATTGTGGCTACAAGAGGTCTTATAAGGGACCAAAAGAGGAATCTACTCAGAACCTTTATTTAGGTCTAACTAACATCTAGAGAAGCCTCCATGCGATTCCATCTTTTCCAGAATGAGATTCCAAACTGCACTCTTTAGGGGAGGGGGGACTGGAGAGTGGGGGGGTTGCTACTTAAGTTGCGATCACATTATTGGCAGATCGAAGACCTTTATCTTCCACCAACTCCAATGGAAAACTGCACAAAGTAGGGCATTCATGAAAAATGTAGATAGAAAAGGACACAAAAGACTGGAATACCTACCCTCCCCCACCATCCATCTCCCTCTCGCTAATGCAGAGCCAAAAAGGAAGCCCATCCTCCAAGTTTATGACCTCACTACTGTAGGTCCCCCTTGAATGCAGTCTACAAGTTTACATTTACCATAAGGAACAGTACCCTGCATGGGAAGTAGTACTTGTCTTAAAACAGGAGTATTTTAAGCCTACGGGGTCAATCTGGGGGGGCACTTTAATAATCATATTGCTACTTTTAGAGCGCTAACACACACAGTGAATCCAATAAAGTTCTGTGTATTGATTCAATATTAAGTATTAATTGCATGACCATCATAGCACCTCTTTACATCACACAATCACCAGAATTAGAAACTGCTTGGAAAACTAAAACCAGGGCACAGTCCCATCATCAGAAGTTGCACACTGTGGACTACAGAGAGACCAGGTGCACGGTACAGGGCCGCTGCAAAAACTGGAAGCCTGCAGATTTGACGAGGAAGCCAAATCGTGGGTCTGAGATCATTTTAGGAACCTGGCAATACTGTTGAAGCAAAATACTCAACGCAGCAGGAAATGGACCAAAAAGAAGAAGAAGGGGGGTGGGGGTGGGAGGGGGTGGGGGAAGCATTCTATATAACCAAATAACATCTGATAGTTCCTTTCCCTTTGAGAATAAATACAGTTAAGGTCACTTTTAGCCTTGGAACGGATAATATGTTTGCCTATGATGATCTTGCTAATGACTACACAATGTCTGATGTCCTCTGCTAGGATTATAGTTTTAAGAAAGCCATGGTTACAAGAGGCATCTACTGTAAATACCTAGAGCTTCCTTTTATGGCAACCACTATAGAATTCACTTGTCTTAAACAGTGAACAAGGGAAGATGGCCTCATGTTTCCTTTGCAATAAGAGTATATGTGGAGGATCGAGTGGCTTTCAAGCAGCATGGTGGGTGTGAAAATGTCTGTAGTTTAGATCATTCTGTTGCGTTTATGGGTTGGTGAGTCTGTAATGACATCGCCACACTGGGCTGAGGTACGCTTTCTAGTTCCACCATTGTCCAAGTGGAGTGCCATTTCTTCTGATATGAAAGTGTTCAAATCGACATCATGGAGTCCATTTCTCCTTCGACTAGCATTCGATCCACTGCTTACATGTGTAGGAGAGCCTGGGGTACTCGAACGCACGCTTATACTAGCCATTGCACCACTAAGACCTAGGAAGAAGAAAAAAGGTTTTAGAGTTGCTCGATTATTTAACCCTCTTGAAAGCAACCCACTTTACTTTCAATGTTTCATAGTGTCAAAGGAGGTCTGCCTGTTTTCTTAAGGAGTCACCAGGGGGCAGTTATGTTTTCTTCTGGAAAAACGAATCGTCGGGCTTTTGGCATAGATGTTTCATTGGGAAGACTACCACTATTTACAATATTGGTAATTACCAACTCTGGGAAGCATATTCTGTCGCAAGCACCGTGTAAGGTGGACACACAGATCACAAAACCCTCCCGTCTACTCTACTGGGTATATACTGCTTATAATTTATGGCTGAGGACAGCAAGCGCATGCTTTAAATAGGACATTTTGGTTATCCAGAGTCACCACCCCCAATAGATCCCCCTATAGTGTGTGTATGTGCACGAAGGGGAGCGATGATTTCTAGGTCTGAGTGGGCTCATTCCAACTTCCCCCAAATGATCATCCAAAACCGTGCATGCTGCAGCCCAAAAAAGGGGTCACTACTGAAAAAGTACACAGGGACCTCAAGCACAAAGTGAGTCTGCCCTTGGATGAAACAAGCTATACGATCGCCCAAGGTCTGGACTTGATTGGTCTCCTCGGGACAACCTCACTTATCATCATGGATGATCCCTCTGAGAAGGAGGTAGTGCCTATGGCGGTATAAAAAAATCCTGCTGCCTTCAAGGTTGAATTAAATCCAGAATAGACCCAGCACCCAACGCTGGACACTCATCCCTCAGATTCCTGAACAGTTAAGGAGGCAAACATTATGTTCCACTCTGAAATGTTCAGGATGAACCTGTGAAAGGCCCAAGAGACGCCAGGAAACATTAACCACAGCGTTGAATTTGAAAACCTAACATCACGAACGGTGGATTTCCCTTACGAACTTCCCCTTACGTTATTCTAGCCTCACACAGGGTTTTTGTTATTGCTTGGCTAACTTCACAGACTATGACCTAGGATACTCCATGTTCCCAAAGAACAGAACTTCTCAGATTTTAAAATGAGCTTAGAGGTTGGTCTGGTAGGGGCCCATTCTAGTTTATACTGTTAATGTGATTTAAATTTGAATGTTGAGAAAAAATTCTTTCTACCACATCAACTTTGACATTATTCTGACTCTACAAATACTCTGTGAACATTCTCAGGCTGCAGGCCTCAACAGCCTCCCTTATGCTGATTGTGTTCTGCAGCCCAAACCTCTTCCTGCTCTCAAACTCCCTACCTGGTAGCCATCAGCCCCCTCCTTGCTCTGCCTGTGGAAGATGCGTCCTCCCTCCCACTGGTGGCGAGGAAGGGTGGGCACGGCACTCCTTAGCTCTAAGCCATTGCAAGGCTGGTGCCTATTTAAAAAAATATAATAGAGGCACTAATCTTGGGAGTACTTCCTGTGTGAGGCAGGTGCTACGTTAAGTACTTTTAATTTTCATCCTCACAGTGATCCTACGACATCCGTATAGTCTGTTTGCGGATGGGAAATGGAGGTTAAAAGGTTAAGTAACGACCCAAGGTCACACAGCTAGTAAGCAAGAGCTGCGACTCAAAACTTAAGCACAATCTCATGTTCCCCTTGACTGTTACACTCTTCAAGTCAACATGATTTTAGCATGAAGCGGCTACAGGGTGTGCGCCTGGCCTCTCTCAGGCCTCGTGCTCCCACACCACCGGGAGAGCGGATGCGCATGGCCAAGTAGCTCTGGTAGGTTGGCCAGCGCCTCTCTTCCACCGTGTACACCTGCTGACGCCTGGCCCCCAGCTCCTCCGGCACCTATTCTGCCCTGAGGCTCCTTTCCTGACTCTGCCACCTCTCTCCTATTTAGTCTCTGGCTGGCTCCGCTTCCCTCCTGCTTGAAACTCTCCACTCCTTCCTGTCCGCAGCCCGCCAGCTCCTTCCTCAGTGGCCTCTGCAGGGTTCACTTCCACTGGACAAGTTGGGTGCCACGCAGGGTGGTGTCCTCTACCCCTTAGCTTACCTACGGGCATCGTTTTCCACAGCACAGGGGATCTCTCCTGTGCACATGGGCCCATCCACAGTTCTAACTGCCTGCTGGACCTCTCCCATTTAACATCAAAAAGGCGCTACACGCTGCTTCTTCCTCAGGCCATGCAGGTTTATTAAAAAATAAATAAAAGGGAAAGAAACATTTTGAGCTCATTTCATGCAACGCGGTACAATCGTGTAGCTTCATCTCCATCTAACGTACATGGTGCCTCACACACAGCATTCGCTCAATTCTGCAAACAGGGGAGTGCTTCAAAGTCTATCCATTTTGAAATGCACTGAAACCCAAACCTGCTGGCATTCATCCCCTCTCCAAAGCCAGGAAATAAACCCAGGTGGCTCTTGTCTCTTAAATCTCTGCCATCAAGTTTTTAAAAACTCAAGTTATTCCCAAATTGCTGGCATGTTTTTTTTCCCCCAAGTTCTGTGTGCTGTGCTTTCTTTTTTCCAACCTAGCGGCCTGAAACAAACTACTAAAAGGTGTCCGTGAAATTAAAACAAGAACCTTTTCATAGCTGGTTCATAATACAGGAAGTCCTAAGATAATTAGACTGCAAAATGTAGGCCTTCAGCACGAAACTGGGCTAACTTCAGTAATTAATCCCCTTTATCATTTGAAACCATCAAAAGAACTCAACAACCCCCCCCCACCCTGAACCCCTCTTGTTAACATAGCAACATGTTTATTAACACCTAAGGACAAATACCCAAGGCTCACAGAATACTCCACCAGAAGTGAACAGGCACATCAAGCAAACACTTCTATTGTTTCCACTGCTATTCTCCGTGAAAAAGAAGAGACATTAAATATCAATTTGGTCAATTTGAAAATTCCCCAGTAACTGCTGGGCAACTGCCATCTTTCTTCTGTTGAGTGTATGACTGGGGGCTTTAGTTGGGCAGCTCAAGTGCAACCACAATGTGCAACATGAGCTTCCTCCTACCTACTCTCAGCAGTGAAAATTCTTTTCAACATTTAACTAGCTGAAAATCTTCCCCAAAAACACTTTCGTGTCAAAAAAAAAAAAAAAATTAAGATTAACAACCAAAAAATATATATTTTAAACAGCCCAAATTTTATTTTACAAACCAATGACAGCTACTGGAAGATGCTTCAGGAAACCTTAGCTAAGCCACATGAACAATCAGGCCTATACAAGTACAGAGAGTCTGAACATGCTTCAGAACTAAAAACTAAGTTGTACAGCCCGAGGGCATACAACTTAATTTCTACCAAAACACACTTTTTCAAAAGGGCTATGGGAGTATCAGTTGACAAAAAGCAGAACAAGTAGTATGATTAGACAGAAAAGTCTCCATTGCTTAATACAAGATAAACTTAGCAGTTTTAAAGTTTCTGCATTCGTTTTAAATGATTAGTGCAGGAGGGAGGGGAAAAAAAAAAGATTAGGATGATTTAATCATACTTTAAAAAGAAAGCTCCCACTGGAGCTAAAACAGTTACAGTCCAGGTTATAGGTATCTAGGTTACATGGTCAAATGTTAAGAGCAGCACATAACTATTATTTTCATACCAAGTTCATGCTTCAGATAATAAGATAATCCTGTTTTCAGAATTAATTACATGTAATTCCAGTTTACCAGCACATAGTTAGATCACATATAGGCACAGAAAGAGCAAATGCAGACCGATGCACCCCCCCCCTTCCTCGGTCCAGCAGCCCGTGGCCTGGAGGCCGCCTCTACACTCTCTACCTGCTCCCCAACTCCCTAAGACTGAGAGCAGAGGGCCAGCCCCAGAGGAGAAAAGGCGGAGGACTCTCATTGTCGATCCACTCAGCACAGGCTCAGAATGCTCGGCAGATACGCTCCACCAGTTTTTTTCATCTGCAGCATGAGAGGGGATTTGAAATCCCCACAATTTGAACCAAGTGAGAACTTCCTGACTGGAACCCTAGGAAACTGGCATTCTTGCATTTCAAATGAATTGCACTATTCAAATGGACAGAGCTCCCTGTGCACAAAGTGGTGTTCTGAGGTTTTGAAGCAAGCAAGCACTTGTGTGTAAATGTCGTGTTTGAAATGCACCAAGGAAGGAGTTCAAATCACTGAAAAAAGAATTCTACTAAGATTTTAGTAATTTGAAGTAGATACCACTCCCCACCCCAATATGTAAATTGTAATACTGAATTTTTATTGAAGTAAAGCACACTAAATCAAACCAATTACAAAGATACATGTGTCACACCAAGAAAACATTTTCAGTTATGCTGACAGCCCAATGCTTTCAGTTTTTCAAAAACAATTTTAATGCCATGGGAAAAATGCTCACGACGTTAAAATGAAAAAAAGATACAGTACCATATATGCAGTATGATCTCAACTATGAAATAATTTTAATATTTATACATTGAAAAAAAAAGACTGAAAGAAAATGCACCAAACATTTAACTGTGGTTATCTCTGTATAGTCAGATAACAAGATACTGAATTTTTTACTTTTCGGAAATTTTCAAACTTTCCAAGAGAATGTTATTCGTAAATCAGAAGACTAGTGGAAAATTTAAATTCAAATGTTCAAGTGCTTCGTAAACTACCAGAGGACATTAAGTACTAGGTGCACGAACTGGCTTTGAGGCATGGCTGCATGGACTCCTTTTTCACATCAATGAAAAACTGTCCAAGAAAATTTTCCTGCAACTTCCAAACAATTTTGTATCATTGATGGTAGCTTTAGTGAAGTCCTACCCCAGAAACTTCAGCAGCTAATATCTAATCTTAACATAAAGAAATGCCAAGTTTTCATCAAAAATTTTAATGCTGTTAATTGCCTTCGTTTTCCTCATTCCCAAAAGCTGGTTTGAACAAAGGCCGTAATTTAGAGATTCCAGCCTTCAGAGATGAATTTTAATTAAAGAAGCTTCTTTGAAATAATCATTTTTTTAAGCATTTAAGAGAGGCGATTGTTTTGGTGCATTAAATCTCTTACATCTTTATTTCCAAATAAGTTTT